TACAAATGCCATTGCTGAGAAAGACGTAAATTTTTTCATTAATCTTATGTTTATATTTAATTACTCGTACGATGTGTACAAGAGTATTAGTCACGCCCATAAATATAATAATAATAAATAAATGAATAAATAAACAAACAAATTAATATATCATTTCTTTTACCTTACTGTAATGTATCATAGAAACTTACGTCTTTCTCAGCAGTGGCATTTGTATTTGGTTCATCTGTTTCATTTTTATTCATTGCAGGTGAATCAGGTATATTGAAAAGTATTGGTATGGCGTTTGGTTTTAATTTTCGCCAATTATCTGCTTGACCAGTCTCAAACTGATTTTTCAAAATGTTTCTAAAATAAAAAAATTGCTTATAAAATAAATGTCCTTATTGATTACAGTTATTCATATTTATGTAATTTCAAACGGTGACAAATCTAAACTACACTTAAAAAAACGATCTATGATTCTAAACAAACAGAAAAAGCTACGTAAATTGGAAATATAAGAGAATAAACTTACTTCACAGAGGCACGATGATTTGGTTGGTGTCCAAGACTCTCTGCGGAGATTACGTATTCATTGCTGTCGACGACCATCATTCGCAGGAAACAAAAATAATCGAGCTCCTTTTTCTGTTCTATTGGCACAATTGACCGCAACGCAGCAAGGCATTTTGTATCTTTTTTTGGTTCACAGTCGGATAATCAAAATACACGTAAACACAGAGTTCGAGCAGCTTAGAAACCATAACCTAATCATCATAAACTTCTCAGCTCAGTGACAGTGGCGAGAGGGCAAGGAGTGAGAGAATGGAACAAAAATGGCGGAGACGTAAGCAGACGTGAGAATACTCACGTTTTATAGTGCCTTAGTTAAATTTGAACCTGAGTTTAAACCAAAGGTAATGCTAATTAGTTTCTACCACGATTTATATATTTATTATATATATATATATATAATTAAAATATAATTTAAACTTGTAATTATAATTATAAAATAATACTGAAAAACTTACTTATGTGTCAAAAATTCTAACTCTTTTCTAATATGTTCCAATATTAATAATATCAAATCTTTACTTAATCTAAATCGCATTTTAAATTCAACGTCATCTAATGTTTCAAAATAATTACCTCGCTGTTTAAATCTTTTTCTTCTTCGTTCAAATTGTTCAATATTTTCATCATCAGAATCTGAGGACCACAAAAGATTAAAATACGCCATCATATCAACAAAATAATAATTATTATTTTTCACAATTATTTTTAACGTATCTGTAACGTGTCAACCACTGTGAATGAGTGTTGAATTTGAATTTTGACAATATGATATCCAATAAAGGTCAGGATACATATTTGATGATATAATATATAGAAATAAAAATAGAGTATTGTTAGTAACATTTCTTAAAACCGACGTTTAATTACTTTAACGAGATCGACCGTTTAACTTAAATTTTACAGATATTTAAACGCCGTTAAATAATTGGTAGGAACCAATATTCAGGTTAAGTTAAGATAACCGAATGTCACTAGGGTTTAATTTCTTAAACCATGTTGGTTGAAACCAAGATCTATAGAGAGAAGGTTACCTCAGTAAAACCGGTTGAGGGCGAGGGACGATGAAGTAAGGGAGGAGCTAGAAACAGCTTGATGGCGAGGAGCGATGAAGGAAGGGGGGAGCTAGAAACAGCTTGATGGCGAGGGGCAATGAAGGAAGGGGAGAGCATGATGATCTCATCGACAAACAGTAGCTGTTTGAGATAGCTTCTGTTCGCCGATGAAATCATCATTGCCCCTCTTGCCGCTCGCCCCTCTCTGCATTTGCCCCTCTTACCGCTCGTCCCTCTTTGCGCATGAGGTAACCTTCTCTCTATAGATCTTGGGTTGAAACGGCCCTTAACCTGTAATTAGTATCGTATGTATGTACAGGATTATGTTATGATAGGGTTCGGAACACTTCTCGGTTTAGTTTAGTGGCTGCCAACATCTAAATAAATAAGAAAATAAAATAAGTTAAACTAGCATGGTTCGAAATATACCCTCAATAAAGAATAAATATTCGAATCAAGGAGCGTTTTTTGTATACGCTCAATCGTGTACCACACCAGTGGTGTGACACTACCAACGTTGTTGCATCTCCTTTTTGTAGGAAAAACCTTGAACAAAGAAGGTGAAAAAGAAATAGAAGAAATAAGAAAGATAGAATTTTCTAAAATCTCTATAAAATTAAAAAATGCGCCAAGGTGAACGGCTAAAGCGATGCTTGTGTACATTTTTAGCACGAAAGCAAACAAGACGAACGCAGCCAATATCATTTTAATATCTATTGGACATTGTCGGGGTTGGATGTACGATTTTGTGGCCTCTATGCTATGATCTTAAGAAGGCCTCCATATTTCTCCAAAATTTCATTTTTTCGATAGTTCGAGCGACCAAAAAAAAAATCTATTACAGCGGGCTTATAGGAATAACAAAACATAATATACAATAATATACACCCAGATAGCACAGGACATCCTATGGACATTCATTTTATGCCCCTTTTACGTCCGCACGTCTATGGACATGAAATGGATGTCCATCGTACATCTGATTTCGGACATCCGTCAGTGATCAATATTTGGACATCCATAAGATATCCGGTTATGGACATGAATGTTTCGCGCGTTTTCTCTGACTGCGCAGAATGCTCTGCCATCGACAGCTCGGCATTATTTCGTCGAGAAGTTAACAATCGCCTCATTCTCTTTCAATTTCGTTCTGTGTTTTTCCGTATTTATTATTCACAATAAAACGGTAAGTAGATTTTATTGAAATTATACACATGTGAATGATATCAATTATATGAACGAAAAAAGAAATTGAATGGACACTATGAGTACGCATAATATTTAGAGGTTATGTATTTTTATTTTGTAGATACAACGCAGATTCTGGTCCAGTCAGATACAATCAGGTACAATCCGGTTTATTCAGATATCATAACTAATGATTAAAAATGCCCAAGGTAAATAGAAAATATTATACACATGCAAAAAAGATAGTTGGTGCATCTGTCAATATCGTGGATTCCATTCATGATTTGCCTTTATTAACTACTAATATATGTCTAGTTTTAAGCACTAATAATAATGACGTATTGGTATGCGTTAATATATGTCGTGTACAACGATAGTTTATAAAAAAAACATATGCGTATTAGTGAGTTGACTTGTAAGAGAGTTTCTTGTCGGTATTATTTGTCGGTTTATTGCAAAGTCTTTCGACACGCGCTTTGATGCCATTGATCAAGTCGGGTATAAATTCGGTGTCGCGCAGTGATCGCTCTCAGTATTTTCTGAATTTTCAAAACGTTCCGATCTTTTACAAGCGACTCAATATTGCGAAGGCTCAGGACATATAATACAGTCTCAAGGCGTTGCCAAGCAACTCAGGACCATTAAGGTTCCTAGGCGTTGTCGCATCTCGTAAATCGAGATCACTGATTATAAAGTTTGCGTGATTTCAACTGTTGGTGAATAAATAATAAACAATTATTTTGTGGATCTGCAATACTCTGGTGAAAAAACATCTCATAATTTCCTAGAAAATTTTAAGAATTTTTTATAATTTTATTTTATGTAAAAAATTCTGAGAAAAAATTTCTTATTTATTCATATTTTTAAAACATTTTTTAGAAAATTAATTAAAAAAAAAAGAATATACGATTTAATAGATCTGATGTAATAAT